GGCCCCGCCCCCCCGCCGCCGTCCTCCTGGGGGACGCCGTACGGCGCCCGGCTCTGGTTGCCGTAGTGATCCACCATGATCCGGTCCGGCCAGGGGGCGGTCTGGTTGGGCGGGGCCTGCTGCTGGTGGTAGGGGGGGGTCGCCATGTCCATGTCTGGGGAAACAGGAGGGTCTGAGTGGGACCTTTAAAGGAAACATGTTATAGCCTATTTCAATGAGTTAAGCTAGTTCCCTGGTGTCCTAATGTAATGTCTGTGACAAGCTTTGGTCAGAATCCCATAAGGATGAAGCCCAATAGCAGTTCAGTCCCCCTGCCTAACCCTAACCCTAACCCTAACCCTGCCAAAACAGCCCGTTCAGAGCGCTCGCTTTGGAGTGCCTGTCTCTTTAAATGCAAATGAGACACAGGCAATCCACCCACTTCTTCAGGGAGGTGTGCCCACGTCGGCACGCTAACGCTAGCATGCTAACGCTAGCATGCTAACACTATCATGCTAACGCTCACGCTACCATGCTCACGCTAACGCTATCACGTTAGCACTACCACGCCAACGCTACCATGCTCACGTTAATGCTAACGCTACCATGCTAACGCTACCATGCTAACGCTACCATGCTAACGCTCACGCTACCACAACATGCAGGTGAAAGGCTGGAATATTATAATGAGCTAGAGCTAATGACGTCAGAAACTACCCACTCCTGAAACCTCCTGATTTATCTCCTGGATTCAGACTGAGGCGGCCCACAAAAACATGACCGAGTCATTTTTTTCACACTTTGCCTGCTGATAGGCCCTCCACAGTCCCAAATGTACACAATCACATGATTAAAAACTTGGTTTTGCATAATATGTCCCCTTTAAAGGGGGACCCACCTGTTCCCATCATCTGCATGTTGACCATGGCTCTGGACCCGGCCGGGGGGGGGCCTCCTCGCGTGGGGAGGGCGGGGTTCATGTTGGGGACCATTCGGCCGACTCCCTGCCCCATCATCGGCCCCTGGGGGCCCCACATTTGCTGCATGGAGGCCCTGACACCTTATTAAGGAGAAAAAACACAACTTATAGGAACTCTACGCAACAATTTCTGTCAAATCAGAGACGATATTTTCCGTTTAACTCATTGACTGCCAGCCATTTTCAGAACAGAGAGTTTTTTGAACATTTTGACTCAAGAGCCACAGAATAGTTTGTGCTATGACTATGTAAACACCGAACACACCAAAAGAAAGAGTAGACTCTCTTCTTTCATCAGGAAAAAAATTTTGTTTCTACCTTATTCCGTTCTTCCTGGACTTGCATCTCACCGGCGACATGTTCTCTCATAGCGAACCGTTCCCTTTTTCTTATTTGCCTACAGTCTATGCTCATCTTCCATCAAAAGTGGCACTGCCCCCTAGAGGGTCAATTTGTTACTACATACTCTGTCTAGAAGCCTGATATTTACGGACAAGCTTTAGCAGATCGTCCCCCAAGCCACTCTTGTTGAAAAACATAAAAGACGTCTATAGACGTCTTTGGCAGCCAATGAGTTAAAGAGAAAAAACACTAACTGTATAGGAACTGTACACAACAATTTCTGTCAAATCAGAGATGATATTTTCCATTTAACGGCTAACTTTTCGGGACCTGCCGTGAATAAAAACACATTTTTCTTATTTTTTTCCAGTTTTTTCTGTCTCTGCCTCACCTGAGCTGGCCATCCTGGCCTTGTGGGCTCCCATCATGCTTTGCTGCTGCTGCTGTAGTAGAGCGTAGGGGCTGGTCCTGTGCTGGGGGGGGAACGGTCTGGAGGGGCTGGGGCCCATGCTCCCGTCCAGAGACATGCTCCTGACCGGGGGGGCCCCCTGGCCCGGCCGCGCCCCGCTGAAGCCTACTGGGATTAAAGGTTTGATGCTCACTCTGAATCCTCATAAAGAGTCAACTTCAAATCCAAAAAGAGTTTAAAAGAGTCTAATTCGGCTAATAAGCTAATAAGTAAAAGACTTAGACACCCTGTGTGCAAAAAAGAGCGATACCGCAGGTCCTTCATCCCTGCTGCTACCAGACTATACAATGTTGCACTTTAACAACTGCTGTGCAATTGTATTATATTTATTGACCTGTGTAATATGTGTACTGTGTGTGAGCCATCAATGATTGTATATATTTTAGTCACTCAAATCTCTACGCTGTGTTGCTTCCTTGTATATTTGTTTGTTTTCGCTGTACTTTATGCACCTTTTCCTCCTTTTGAACTCTAACCGATGTGTGACCAGTGAATTTCTCCACTGTGAGATCAATAAAGCTCTTATCTTATCTTATCTTAATAAACAGGGCTATGATCGAGGGATGTCTTGCTGTAGATAGGCCTAAGTTTTGTTCAAATGTGGACACTTAAGGGCAGTAATGGGGGAGGGGTCCCATCTCTGTCCGGAGCATCTTGAAAGCGGCCATATTGGATCGAGTCGCAACTTTCCGTGTTTAAAAACTTCCTAATTTTGCAAATCAAGCGAATTCTGCTCTTATCTGATGTGCTACATGACCCCCTTCCCGTTGGAAAAACCTCCCCTTGATCCAATATGGCGGTTTTAAAGATGGCCGCCGTGTTTTGGATCAGGCCCCCTCCCACTTTAATGCCGGGGTGTTCAGATTAGGGACGTCCCAATCCATCTTTTTTTACTTCCAATCCGATGTGATCCAGCCTATCAGAGCACGTATTAAAGTTTAAATTTATGTATCTACTTACTTAGCTGTCAGACTCATGTTGAACAGGGATTTACTCTGATAACTCAATGGTTAGGACACAGACCTGTGGGTTAGGAGATGCTAATGCTAATGCTAATGCTCTTAAAAAAAAGGAGTCTGGATCAGCGTTTTCAGAATGAGCCAGAATGAGCCTTTATGACCCAGAATGAGTCTGTAGGACCTGTATTAAAGTTTAAAGTTATTTAACCTACTTACTTAGATACTCGTGTGGGATCGGACTTTAAAAGAAAAAAAGACTGAATCTGCATTTTCGTGCGAATTTTTTGCGAATATCGGTATCCCGATCAGATCCAGGTATCGGATCGGGACAAGCCTGTAGGACCCAGAATTAGTCTATAGGACCCAGAAGGACCAATAAATGAGCCTGTAGGACCCAGAATGAGCCTGTAGGACCCAGAATGAGCCTGGAGGACCCAGAAGGACCCAGAATGAGAGTCTAAGACCTGGAATTAGTCTGTAGGACCTGTATTAAAGTTTAAAGTTATTTAGCCTACTTACTTAGATACTCGTGTGGGACAGGACTTTTAAAAAAAGACTGGATCCGCATTTTCTTGCAAATTTTTTGCGAATATCGGCGTCATGATCCGATCCAGATATCGGATCCAGACAAGCCTGTAGGACCCAGAATTAGTCTATAGGACCCAGAAGGACCCAGAATGAGTCTGTAGGACCTGTCTATAAGTTTAAAGTTATTTAGCCTACTTACTTAGATACTCGTGTGGGATTGGACTTTTAAAAAAAAGACTGAATCGGCATTTTCTTACGAATTTTTTGCGAATATCGGCGGCCGATCTGATCCAGATATCGGATCGGGACAAGCTTGTAGGACCCAGAATTAGTCTATAGGACCCAGAAGGACCCAGAGTGAGTCTGTAGGACCCAGACTGAATCTGTAGGACCTGTTTAAAGTTTAAAGTTATTTAGCCTACTTACTTACACACTTGTGTAGGATCGGACTTTAAAAAAAAAGACTGGATCGGCATTTTCCTGCGAATTTTTTGCGAATATCGGCGTCCCGATCAGATCCAGGTATCGGATCGGGACCAGCCTAGTAGGACTTAGTAGGACCCAGAATGAGTCTGTAGGACCCAGAATGAGTCTGTAGGACCCAGAACGAGTCTGTAGGACCCAGAATGAGCCTGTAAGTCCTGTATTAAAGTTTAAAGTTATTTAGCCTACTTACTTAGATACTAGGGTAGGAACGGACTTAAAAAAAAAAAGACTGGATCGCCACTTTCGTGCAAATTTTTTGCGAATATCGGTGTCCCGATCAGATCCAGGTATCGGATCGGGACAAGCTTGTAGGACCCAGAATTAGTCTATAGGACCCAGAAGGACCCAGAACGAGTCTGTAGGACCCAGAATGAGCCTTTGGTCCTTTATTAAAGTTTAAAGTTATTTAGCCTACTTACTTAGATACTTGTGTAGGATCGGACTTTAAAAAAAAAGACTGGATCGCCACTTTCGTGCAAATTTTTTGCGAATATCGGCGTCCCGATCAGATCCAGGTATCGGATCGGGACAAGCCTGTAGGACCCAGAATGAGTCTATAGGACCCAGAAGGACCCAGAATGAGTCTATAGGACCTGTTTAAAGTTTAAAGTTATTTAGCCTACTTACTTACACACTTGTGTAGGATCGGACTTTAAAAAAAAAGGCTGAATCTGCATTTTCGTGCGAATTTTTTGCGAACATCGGCGGCCGATCCGATATCTGGATCGGATTGGCTGCCGATATTCGCAAAAATTTTGGACCGGCCTACTGTGGACGCACCTG